GCTGCGGCCAGGATCGGGCGCCTGCGGGGATCAGCAGCGACCGCTCCGCTCCTTCTTCTCCCCGTGGTCCCTCTCCGCGGCCTCCTTGACCCCTTCCGCCACCCCTTCCCCTCTTCGTCCCTTGCCTCCTCTCAGCTTTCCCTTACCCTCTTGTCCTTCTGTCCTCCCTTCATTCCTCCCTCGTCCCTCCTCTGCCCTCCCTTCCAGGTCCCCCGGCGCATCCTCCCCTCCTTGCGGCTCCCTCCAGCCCGATTCTCCTCCCTCCAGCTGGCTCCTGCTTTCTCCACTTCCATCCTGGCTCCCTCCTGCCAACTCGGTGGCTTCCCCCAGCAGGAAATGAAAGGGACAAGTTGGGAAATGGGGGGAATGGGGAAGGTGGGGGGAGCAATGTATTGATTATTGACTGATTTGTTAAAAAAAAAAAAAAAGCTACCTTCTAACTCAGAGGAAATGCTGTGACTCCAGTTCTGCGTAAAAAATGGCAGCTCAGCTGGCCTGACTATGTGTGAAGGGTTCTTGAAAGCCACCTCTGGTATCAGTGTAGGGATAAGAGCAAATTACATAATGTTTTACAAAAAAAAAAAAAAAAAAAAAAAAAATGTTATTGTCAGGTTTCAGTAGTGTTAGGCTCCTGAATTCTGACTTTGTTTTGCCCTGCAAGTCAGGGTATTGTTATTCCTGGGGATGGGGCTGTATGCCTGTGCATGTTTCTTCCATATCTGTGTGCTTCCGTTGGTCACCCAGAGCTGATCTTCTTGTTTTGTGGATAGTTCATTGTATTTCTGTGATCAGTTTACCACCTATTTATTTAAACTAGGTATAATAAATGACAGAAACAATGTGTGTGCATGCCTATGTATCCCTTGAGAGAATGTCACTACTACCTTAGTGATAATCTGTGTGTGTTGATGTTATAGATATATACACTGAGTATTGACGTTTCTTTTTGTGTCTGCATATATTGTTCCTATATTGTGCTATTCCAATCCAGATGTTTGGGCATGCATAACATCAGCATTTGTGTTTAATATCCCTGAAATGTATGGCAACATATGAGCAGTGCAGGACTGAAGAGAGTAAATATGCATAAAATTTGAATCTCCTTTGTTTTTTTTACCTTGATAGTTATGCATGTTTAGCATGTACAAGAGATAGAAATATATTTGACAGACCTCAGAGTTATTTGTGTTTGTCTACAGAGATTTACATTCCACATTTGAAATAATTCTAGCTCTCGTGTATTTGGTTGATAAAATCTTTCATGTTTTTTAAATTCAGTGCTTGTAGTTTATCTATAATCCAGGTACAGTAGCTCAGTGAATACAATTTTTAACCCAAATGACATTTTTGGAACAATGATAACTGAAAAGTGTTTTCTTTTTTCTTTCCTTCTTTCTTCTTTAGATTCTTTATCTTTGTTCAGGAGCCTAAGGTTGCTTGCTGATCACAAGAAGATGTTTCTGTGGCTTTTTCTGGTTCTGACATCTCCAGTTTCTTCTACAACTGCAGATGCTGATATATCTGTGGAAATTTGCAATGTTTGCTCCTGTGTGTCAGTTGAGAATGTACTCTATGTCAACTGTGAGAAGGTTGCAGTTTACAGACCAAATCAGCTTAAACCACCATGGTCTAATTTTTACCACCTCAACTTCCAGAACAACCTGCTAATTATTCTATATCCAAATACCTTTCTTAATTTTACACATGCAGTGTCCCTGCAACTGGGTAATAATAAGTTGCAGAACATTGAGGGAGGGGCCTTTATGGGTCTCAGTGCATTAAAACAGTTGCACTTGAACAACAATGAATTAAAGATTCTCCGAGCTGACACTTTCCTTGGCATAGAGAACTTGGAGTATCTCCAAGCTGACTACAATTTAATCAAGTTTATTGAACGAGGAGCCTTCAATAAGCTTCACAAGCTGAAAGTCCTGATCCTTAATGACAATCTGATTTCATTCCTTCCCGATAACATTTTTCGATTTGCTTCTCTAACCCATCTGGATATACGAGGGAATCGAATACAGAAGCTTCCATACATTGGAGTTCTGGAACACATTGGGCGAATTGTCGAATTGCAGCTGGAAGACAACCCCTGGAATTGTACTTGTGATTTGTTGCCTTTGAAAGCGTGGCTGGAGAACATGCCCTATAACATCTACATTGGAGAAGCTATCTGTGAAACACCCAGTGACTTGTATGGAAGGCTGCTAAAAGAAACCAACAAGCAAGAGCTGTGCTCCATGGGGACCGGGAGTGATTTTGATGTGCGCATTCTGCCTCCCTCGCAACTGGAGCCTGGTTACAGCACACCGAATGGCCACACCACTCAAACATCAGTGCACAGATTAGTCACAAAGCCGCCAAAGACTACAAATCCTTCGAAGATCTCGGGGATAGTAGCAGGCAAAGCACTATCTAATCGCAATCTCAGTCAAATTGTATCTTATCAGACCAGGGTGCCTCCTTTAACTCCTTGTCCAGTCCCTTGTGTTTGCAAAACGCATCCTTCAGATTTGGGATTAAGTGTAAATTGCCAAGAAAGAAATATAGAGTCAATGGCTGAACTCGTACCAAAACCTTTAAATGCCAAGAAACTGCATGTAAATGGCAATTACATTAAGGATGTGGACACTACAGATTTCATTGAGTTTGAGGGGCTGGATTTGCTACATTTAGGCAGCAATCGGATTTCAGTGATCAAGGGAGAAGTTTTCCGCAATCTTACAAATTTACGGAGATTGTATCTCAATGGCAATCAGATAGAGCGTCTGAGTCCAGAAATGTTTGCTGGCCTCCACAACTTGCAATATCTGTATTTGGAATACAATGTCATCAAAGAAATCCTAGCAGGCACCTTTGACTTAATGCCAAATTTGCAGTTGCTTTACCTGAACAACAACCTTCTACGAAGCTTGCCAGCCTACATTTTTGCTGGTGCACCACTTGCTAGACTGAATCTGAGGAACAATCATTTCATGTATTTACCTGTAAGTGGCGTTCTTGATCAGCTAAAATCTCTTACACAGATTGATTTGGAAGGTAATCCATGGGACTGCACTTGCGATTTAGTTGCTTTAAAACTGTGGCTTGAAAAGCTAAATGAAGGTATTGTGGTGAAGGAATTGAAATGTGAAACACCTGTACAGTTTGCTAACATTGAACTTAAGTCTCTGAAAAATGAGATCCTCTGCCCTAAACTTTTAAACAAGCCATCTTCTCTGTTCACTACTCCTATGCCTGCTGTTACTTTTACAACACCGCTGGGACCAGTTCGGAGTCCTCCTGGTGGCCCAGTTCCATTGTCCATTCTAATCTTAAGCATATTAGTTGTGCTTATTTTAACAGTGTTTGTTGCTTTTTGTCTTCTTGTTTTTGTGCTTCGGCGCAACAAAAAACCAACCGTAAAGCACGAAGGGATGGGAAATCAAGAATGCAGTTCTATGCAACTGCAGCTAAGAAAGCATGATCACAAGTCAAACAAAAAAGATGGACTAGGTGCAGAGGCCTTCATTCCTCAAACCATTGAGCAGATGAGCAAAAATCATACCTGTGGCTTAAAAGAGTCTGAAATGGGCTTCACATTTGCTGACCCACCAGGTCAAAAAGTCATTCTGAGAAATACTAATGACAAGGAGAAAGATTTATTGCATGTGGATACCAGAAAAAGACTCAGCACAATCGATGAACTGGACGAGTTGTTCCCTGGGAGGGATTCCAATTTATTTATTCAAAATTTTCTTGAAAGTAAAAAAGAATACAACAGCATAGGGGTCAGTGGCTTTGAAATACGTTATCCAGAGAAACAACAAGACAAAAAAACCAAGAAATCTCTAATAGGTGGTAATCATAGTAAAATTGTGGTAGAACAAAGAAAAAGTGAATATTTTGAACTAAAAGCTAAGCTTCAAGGTTCACCTGACTACCTACAAGTCCTTGAAGAACAAACAGCTTTGAATAAATTATAGGTCATGCAATCTTTTTGCCTACAGAGGACATTTGTTTAATGATGAAAGTGCCTTTTGTTGACTTTTAACTTCCAAATACTATATTATATTGACAGGCATAGAGGCAGGTGTATCCAAGGGTGTCGGATTAACTGTAGCTGCATATGATTTGTCAAGTAGAGGAGAATTTCCTTAAATAGATTTTACTACATAAAGCTCATGCCCTGTGGAATCCTGTAGGGATACTTCAAACTCTATTGCCAAAGGGATGCTTTATACATGTTACACTGAATTTAACCTCAAGAGGCATATATGTTTTGTACCTTAAATGCAAAACCATCGTCTCCTTGTGATTTGTTAGAACAAACACAAGAAACCTGGTACTGGTATTTGTACCTCAGCTGGGTCCTTCATCCTGCACGTGGATTTAAGTTGGTGGAACTGGAGTAATCCTTTGATTTGTGGTGTTGTAATGGCACTGTTTAAAGATTATCTGAAAAGTAACAAGCATGCAAAGAGAGAACATTCGATAGTATGTGTAAATTGGTTACATTTATGGCCTGCATCTTGAAACCACTGGAATAATAATGTTAAATTGTGCAAATATTTGTTTAAAATATACCATGCATTACATACCTATGAAATAAATTTGACCACTTGAAGCATACATGTCTATTCATAAAATTAAACAAAAAAAAAAAAAAAGGAAAATAGTTCGAACTGACTTCTGCGGTATTTGTGGCATCTGAAGAAAATACTTGATGTTTATGCAGAATCTGTTGTAAGACTCATCTCCAATTAAAACTAGAGTTCCTTCTCAGTTATGTGAAACCCTTGCAACCCCAACAGGTTGTCCAAAATTGTCAAAGTGCTTACTGTGTGAGCGTAGCAGAAATTATTTTTGTAATATAATTCATATTTATGAAATACTTTGTATACTAAATAGGAAAAATATGTACTCCTTAATATGTATTTAATATGCCTGACTTGTTTTCCTGATCACAATGCATTAATCATTCAGTATAAATAAAAACAGAACAATATACCAAACAGAAACTGGGGGTGTAATGTGTAGAATTATCCAGAATTAAGTGAACAGATATAATAATAATAAAATTGTTCTGTACTATTCTTGTGAAATAAGCATATTATTTCAGGTTTGTTACCAATGGTGGTGCATTTTAAAATAGATTCATTAGTTTTTTAGTATTGTGTCTCAGGCAATTTTTTGCCATCAGTTGTCTTGCTTTTCGGGGTTCTACAGATTAATCTAGTTTTCACTGCAGGAATTCATGGTAAGGGTAATATTTTAATTGTATGTGCATAAGTTTTCTGTTCTTATTATCTGTCTGGCTGCTATCAGTCAGAAAACACTGTTGACAACAATGACGATATGGCAAATAACGTCCATTTAAAACCACAGTGTACAATGAATATAGTGGTCTCAGTTCAGAGTATTGTGTGGCTCGTATCTAGAGAGTAAAAACTTGACTTTGTGAAAGCTGAATCTGAATAGCTAGGAAAAAAAAGTAGGAGAATGGAAAATCCCCAGTGTGTCTCACTGATAGATGGTACCTTGAGAATGGAGATATATTGGTAAAGCATCATACAGCAAATCTATACTGTGTGATTAACAAAAGTTCTTTGACTTAAAAAGGAGTTTTTATAATTCATTTCAATGAGCTTTGGATAAGACCTTCTGTCTCCCTTGCTTCCAGAACATTCTATACCCCTACCTTTTATAATCAATACAGAAATCAATTAAGATTAGTAAGATACAAACATGAATGTTTTTTCATTAATTTGAAGCTAGCAAATATTGCAGCAAGACCCAATAATAACACTGTGGAGAAGGCTGTGTCAGCTATTTCCATTATAAACCTCTATTTTCAGGGCTTTATGACACTGCTGTGAAATTTTTATTCTGGAATGGTACTTGGCAAACTGCCTGCAGTATATTTTTAACAGAATTTAAAAAAAAAAAAAAAAAAGCAGCATTGCATCTTTATTTAAGAGCAAGCAAAACAAGACAACATTTTTCTACTTTCAGACATTTGTTTATGCTCTTGTAACTCAGAAAGAGGGTTGTTTTTTTTCTCCATGCTACAAAGTATATACATAACTTTAGATAATAAAATTGTAACAGATAAATTAATGGCTGAGTTTCTTTCAAAAAGCTGCTGCTATCCACGCACGATAATTAACTTCATTAAGGATGTCACAGGGATTTTCAGGACATGGATACCATGTACATATGTATTTCTAGCATAAAAAGACCTTGGTTGCCCAATGATACAATACATGGCTAAGGCTTCAATAAGAACATTTGAGCTTATTGTGTCAAAAGTCTGTGGATTAAGGAGTGTTAAAGATGCACTGCCATGATAGACTATAATGGCTCCAGCAGCAGGCTGAGAATAATGGGTCCCTGTGCCTGCTCTGCACTGTGTTGCGTGGCTTTGAGGATGTGTCAAGATTGACTGGGATTTGCCAAAGCGTAAGGCTTCTGACATGTCAGTGTATTGTCACTGTCATTTCCCTTTCCCTTCTCTCAAGAGGCATGTGTTAAAAATATTAAAAATAGAAAAGAAGCTAATATTTTAAGTGATGTTAAAGCTGATGTGCTCATGACTTGTGTCACCCTGTGTTAAAATAACAATGATAAACGATCATACCTTCCTCAGCTAAAAAATTGAGGGTATTGTTTTGTGGGGTTTGGTTTGGTTTGGTTTGGGTTTTTTATGATGAGGTCTTCTGTTCACTGATCAAAAGAGGAAGAACTGAACAGTTTTGCTGTACCATTACACTCCATCAGATTTTCTTGCTTGTTGAGGTCCCAATCCAGTAAAGTGTTTAAACTCAACCTAAATCATGTGCAGAGGTACTATTCATGCGCTAATAATTAAATACCTGCCCAAGAGTGAGGCTTAGATAGAGTGTCATCATTGACTTCAAAAAGAGCCAGCCCAGAAACATTGTGTAGAATACATAGAGTCCAGTGACTCTTTTTGGATTATGCAGTTAAGTGTAGGTTCACCAGCATCAGTAAAGGTTGCACAATATGGACCTTCCTGTAGAAATTGTTCTTAAGTGTTTTACATATATGGTGCGACATGTAGGCATAATAGCGTGAGTGAAGAATTCAGAAGTTGGCAAAACACTATATTTCTGTGAAATTATTACTTTGAATGACCACCTTAATGTCAGTTTATTTCCTCCATGTTTTGAAACACTGTATGTGTCTGCACAGCAGTTTTAGTGTAATGTCCATTCAAATCTACAGTCAGTCTGTCTGGGAAGGTGACTACAGATGTGGCTTAACAGATGTATCTGTTCATTATATTGGTTTGAGTGGCCATGCTTGTAAAATGGCTGTTAAGACCCATAAACTAAAACAGCAGAGGTGTTAACATAATCTGTTGTCTTTATTGTACTATAATGAAGTTTCCATTTTTAAATAAAATTAATAAAGTGTAATTGTTTCCTTGAAAAATAAAGAATTTGTGCAATTTTATCAAAAAGAAACTCCCATGGTGCAAGAACGCAAGACCATTATACGATTTACACTTTGCATTTAGTGTTCAAGATTGACAGTGATACAGAAATCTAGTATTATGGCTATAATGATGATATAAATTATAAAAGGCATGGCCTTGTGAATAATGTTAACAAATGTAGAATCAACAAAATACATCCAGAACTTCATGGTGGTATAATATCTATAATACCTTTTGCATGATTTGTACATTGATATTGTATGAAATGAGCACAGTGAGATTTTTCTTTTTTTTTTTTTTTTTTTTTCATTTTGGTTGCATCCAAAGAGTTGGGAAGGAAATATAAAAAGACTGTATTTATAATCACTCTATTTTGAAATAAAGTAAAGAAAACAAAATATATTGGTTTTACCCTGTTTTGATCATTATTATGCTAGGTTAGTTTGTAAAGTTTATAATTAAGATAGATACTTATAATACCCAGTACAATGTAAAACACAGAAAGCTACTGCTGTTCATGAGTTTTGTTTGCCTTCAGCAGCATCAATATTAGCCAGTGGTGACTTAAAAATTTGTATGAGATATTAATAAAATCGTTTGGTACTATTGTATTTCTGAAACTAGACTTTGTTAAGTGCCTGTAATATTCTCTTTCAGATCATTTGTATATGGGTGAAAGAGAATCTATAGTTAGACAGTAATGTTTTCTAACCACCTCAACAATGTGTTATTATTTTTTTATGGAAGTTTTTCCCATGTTCTGTTGTCTAACCTCTGTTATACAAATAGTCCCTCCAAAGTCAGTGAAATTTTTTTGCATTAGTAACAGCAGCAGAATTTTGGTTTTGGTTGGATTCTGAGAACTTCAACACAGAAGTGCTTAGAGGAACAATCACATAATGCTAGGGGCACTTGTTTTGATTCTGCTCCCTTCTCATTAATAATTTTGAATAAGTTTTTCAGAGGAAAGAAAAGTTAGTTTATCCTTATCAAAAAGAAAAATATCAATCCATATACTATTTCAACTAGTTAGTTTTATAAATGAAAGCTGAAAAGATGTCTTTATGTAGTTTAACTTCCAAATTTACATTTTGTAGTAAAAATGTTTTACAAAGCCTAATAAAAATGTTCATTGGAGGGGAGAAGAGCAGGAACAGAATGACATCTAGATTAAACATTCCCTGTTGTGTTGGATTTAACATGCATTATAATGGTGGTTAATGAGAATTGGAATGTGATATGGACTAGAAAATCAGGACTTCATATGGATTTTTTTTACTGCCAGTTGCAGTGTAACATTGGCAGCAAACCCACAGCATTATTTGAAAAAGGCCTGTGTATATATTCCATAGAATTTCTTTCTAAAGAAAAACTTGAAAATCAAGGATAAGTATGCAAGTTTTGAAAATAATATGCAAGCACTGATTTCCTGAATGTAGAAGAACTTGGCAGTTTTCTGTTAATATGTTTTCCCATTATTTAGTCTTCATTTTTAATTGCAGTTCATTTATCCTTATGTATTCTGATTGATGCTGTGTTGAAAAATAAGAATGTTAATGTTCAGGGACAAATTAATCTCAGAAATTTTCTGATGTAAATCCAGACTAACTCAATAGAATTCATTGGAATCAAATCAGCCTTACCCTAGTGAACACAAAAGCAAGAATTTACCATATTAGGTGAGGAGCTGATCTATCTGTCATTGAAATAAAAAATAAGCTAAGCAATTTTTTTACTTTAAAGAAAGTATATTCTTGCTTTTTGCTCTGTTGATTTGTGTGGAAAAGCTGTTACTAGTTTTAAATAACCATAGGGCAGAATATGGAGTAGGTGTAGACCTGTGTCCATTTGATGTCAGTGGAGCTCTACAATGATTCAAGAGCTGTGGGCCTCCTGTCGATGTACTATGGATACAAAACTATTTAAATTTGCTGGTTTAATAGATAGAACTGGGATATACATCACATAAAGTAAAAATGCTATCTTAACAATACAATTTATTTTCTCCCTATAATGGAACAAACTTACTCTGCTCTTCTTTCTCATTAAGTAGGGACTTTATTATAAGTATCTTTATTTTACTGTTAATTTTATTCATGTTCATTAGTAACACTTGATAGAATTTATTTATTGTCTGAAAACAGTGCATTTTGAGCAGTCTGTTGTTTTTTAAATACCAGTCTTTATTAATAGACTGATGCTGTATTCTATTGATTTTTCATTCTCTTCCTGGTAATTTTTGTAGTCATTTAGCACCAAATAATTTCTTAAAAGCACAAATAACAATCAGGTAAGAAAAAGAGACCTAGCTGGTACTAAATCTGAATTTTTGGTATTTGTGTATATGAAAGTATGTATATATACATCTATGGGTGTATACATGAAGGTTTAAAATACTGTAAATCAACTCTGATGGGTACACAAGTGTTACATCATTGTTGTTTTGGTCTTCGTTTAATCAGAAAGCAAAAGGTTATCTCTATATGATTATAGCAGTCATTTTGCAAATGTAC